GTAACTGATAGACGAAGTTTGAATAAGTCTTAGTGGGGGGGGGGGCGAAAAATGTCGTTTTTGCATACGGCTCTTTACAAATAATATTATAATTTAGGTTATGTAATTTAAATTCATTACTGTTCATTAGGAACCCAAAGAGTGTCTTCCTATTTATTCTTGGCTAGTTACACATGAATTTTGATTTTATATTTTAAATGCACGACACTTAATTTTCACCTCTAATGTCTTTTCTCACAGTTCAGTCGTTCAAGCGTCGGTGGTACCCGATATTACTTATCATCATATCCTCAAGAGCATGAAGATAACCTTAGATTTGAGTCTCGCTTTGAATCAGGTAATCTAGCCAAAGCTGTCAAAATCACCGAGACTTACTACGAGTTGTCCCTCCGAACTGATCTGTACACCAACCGGCATATGCAATGGTTTTATTTTCAAGTCTCTAATACCAGGACCAATATTATGTATAGGTGAGTGTATTTACCCATATGATACTAGGGTGTTTCATGAAAACCCCGAATTGCGATTATTGGTGCTCCCTGCTGGGCTAAAATCTCATCTTAGAACAATCAAAGAGCCCTGTGCAAAATTTCAACCCCAAAATCGAATTGTTAGAGGCCCCGCATCAGTCCTAAACATTTAAATTGGAAATTCCACGAGGATTTGCCATAAATTATACAATGGCGATTTTCTCGGCGAGGTGTGACGACAGTCTTTCTATGAAATTTCATAAAACTGATGTTGAATGTGTAAAGACCATGGAAATGTATCATCTTAATGTATTCATTCTTTCAAACGGACAGGGATAACAGTCGAACATAATCAAAGATATGACGGGTCAAGAGAGGTGGCAACGCTGCGTCCTCATACGACTGCGGCCCTCGAGTGCCGCGCGCCTTGTCGCGGCGGGGCGCAGCAAAATCCTTGAGACTCACAATCAGTAAGCGCAGCGTTGCGGGTTGACAGTTTTGCGCGAATGGCGTTCCTCGTTCTTTTTTGACGGGAATCCTGCAATTTGGGATGAGTTAATGGAAAGAAATGAAGCAGTCTTTGATGTTTTAATTGATGTGGTAATTTGACGGTCGGTGCCGCCGTATAAAACGTTATTTGGCAGTACGGTAGGTACCGCCGAATGAATGACGTTATCTGGCAATACGCCACCGTAGAATTAATGACGTTATCTGGCGGTACCGTATCCTTATTAGAAAATTGTCTACGTACCGCTGAGGTACCTTTACTGGACCACTAACCGGGTAACTTCCTACCGCTAATAAGGTGGCTTTACCAGATGACTTTTTGACCGCTTACTGGAAAACGTCCTACCACTATGGTGCTTTCACCGGATGACCTTTTAACCGCTAACCGCAAAATTTCCTAACGCTAAGCTGCCTCCAACAGATGAGCGAGCAAACGCCATCTACGGCGATCTAAATTGATATTATATTGCTGCGATCTTTGGGACTATAGATTCGATCAAATCCTCGGAAAATACAAAAGGCAACATCGTATTTGAGGCTAAGGGACCGCGAGCAAATTTCAAAACCTACGTTCTAAGAAAAAATTGTAATGTAGAGGAAGACTAAAGCGTGCCGAGCGACAATTAGGTTCAAAAAAGATAAATCGGTTAAAAAACCGATTTTTCTTGGAAATAGTTTCAAAATTTTCCCGCAGTTCTTCAGCCTTAATCACAAGGTTACCATTTGCCTTCTTGAAAGATCTAGGAATTTTGTCTCAAAGCAGGTCGCAGCTACATATTACGCATCGATCTTTTTAGATAGCGTTTGCTTGTTCATCCGGTGGAGTCATTTCAGCGGTAGGAAATTTTCCAGATAGCGGTTAAAAAGTCATTCAATAAAGGCACCGTAGCGGTACGAAGTTTTCCGGTTAGCGGTCAAAATGTCATCACATCAAGTCACCTTACTCAGAACATTTTCTAATCAAGACACGGTACCGCCAAATAACGGTCTCCTATTTCAAAGTACCGCACCGTCAAATAACGTTTTATTCGACGGTACCGTACTGCCAAATAACGGGAACCTTATTTTAATTTTACCTTTTTAGCAGTTGATAATGGTATCGTACGACACCGAGACGTCCTACGTGCGTAATTATGTGTGTGTTTAGCCTTTATCTCCATTTTTTTCTGTTTTCATTCTCCTGATTTGTAAAAAAATTGAATTATGTCACCCTATATATTCGGAGAGGTAGGTGCCAGAGACACTTAATCACTTTCCTACGTTGTAATTTACACCTGACACAGCATTTATACAATTATAAACAGGTTTATGTATCGTGTTGCATAAATTTCAGGAGATTCTCGTCAAATATTAAAGACTATTACAACACATTTAGAAAAAAAATTAATTTGTATCTTCAGATAATACAAGAATACTCATATGGGTTTGTGTTGGTAGCCGAGTGCTAGAAATAATGCAAAAAAATGTTTTAAAAAAAAAAACACTTACATTTTATTAATAAAGTACCGAAGCTTTTCGAGGCGGACGCCTCATCGTCAGGGTAACCCTAGTGGAAGTGAACCTCATGCGGCGGGAGGTCTGCAGGTGGTTAACCACCCGCG